GGAGGGAAGGGGAGAAAAATTTAAAACTCAAAAGCTTATGGAAGTGATTGTTGATAAAGCAGAATAAATTTTTAAAAAAGAAAAAAAAGTACAAAAAAAGAGAAAAAGAAAAAAAACCTTCAAAGCAAACATGAGCCAAAAAGAGAAAATCCTCAGACTGGGGAAGTAATCTTGCCTGGCAGATTAGCACCAAGTCCATTTGGTTTTGGTTTGTTGTAGCTCGACAACCAGTTGGAAGAGTTTTATAGCACTAAACTTAGCTTCTCATCAGACCTCACAAGTGAGGCTATATGTATTATTATACATGTATGATTATAACTGGGACTATTGTTTTTTCATATGAGCCTCTTTCTTTATATGTATGGATATAGTGTAGATGGGATGTAGTCCAGGCACCCTAGTTCATCTAATCATTTAACAACAGGTAACTTTTACAAAGGATGTTTAATTCAAAGATAAAGCAAGAACAAACATACAAGCACTTTCTCTAATACCTCCAGGGCATACTCTCTGCTATACCACTTAAGTCTCTGGAGGAGTAAGCTCAAAACTTAGCTGAGTTCCCACGCAGCATTGATCTCACCAAGTTCATGTCCAAAGATTGTATCACTGCTGGATGTATCTTGGTTTCGTCTTTCACTGTCATGGTTCCAAAAGGCTGCTCCTGAATATTGCTTCTTGCTCCTTGGGGCATTGATGCTGCACTGTGACACTCAGCCTGGATTCCAACTCAGATTTCTATGGCTCACTGTTCCAAACTCACAAGTTAGAGAAACCACTCCTTTACCAGAAACTGTGAGCAAAAGTGCCACAGAGCTCTTGCAGACTCAAATGGTACAAAGAGACACCCAGAGTTTACTCAGTTCTTCCCAGTTCTTGTTACACAGTCAATCAAAAGAGCCTCCTACCAGGCACAAAATGAGTCACCTGAAACCAATTACAGTATGTCCAGTCATGCTTTACAGTTTTTCCAAGGCATTTCCCTTATACATTATCATGATTCTCTTGGATTCCATCTTTCCTACTTGGTAGGTAACAGGAGTATAAAGATAATTGATAAACAATTGTTAATGATATACATTATTTCAGTGAAGTATAGTTTTTAAAAATAATTTCAGCAATATGGAGATTATTATGAAGGGGGAAAATTAATCAACTCCACAAAATGCCACTCAAAAATTGTGTATAAAAATATGAAGAATATAGAAAGAAGGGACCTAAATTATAACCATCCTACACATTAATGCCAACATGATGTTCCTAAAGCACAGGTCTGAATATGGTGTTATCTTTTTAATAAACTCCAACAGCTCCTCATTAACTTCAGGATCAAATACAATCTTCTTTGTTTCATATTGAATGCCTTTCACAACCAGATCCCAACAGACCTTTCCAGTCTTATTTCATATTACTCTCCATGTTGGCTACCATTCAGTCAAATTGACCTTCTCACTGTAGCTCATACAAGAAATACATATTTCCTGTTTCTGGTTCAATATTAGAAAAATGATCAGCACAATTGACCACATAAATAACAAAACCATCAGAAATCATATGATTATCTCAATAGATGCAAAAAAAGCCTTTGACAAAATATAGCATCCATTCCTATTAAAAACACTAGAGAACATAGGAATAAATAGAGCTTAGCTAAAAATGATAAGTAATATTTATCTAAAACCATCAGCAAGCATTATCTCTAACAGGGATAAGCTAGAAGCCTTCCCAATAATATCTGGGGTGAAGCAAGGACACCCATTATTACTTCTATTATTCAACATTGTACTAGAAATGTTAGCTATTGCAATAAGAAAAAGAAATTGAAGGAATTAACATAGTCAATAAAGAAAGAAAATTATCCTCTTTGGAGATGATATGATATTATACTTAGAGAATCCTAGAGAATCACCTAAAAAACTAGTTGAAATGATTAACAGCTTTAGAAAAGTTGCAGCATACAAAATAAGCCCACATAAATCATTAGCATTTCTATATGTTACCAACAAAGTCCAGCAGCTGGAGATAGAAAGAGAAATTCCTTTTAAAATAACTACAGACAATATAAGATACTTGAGAGTCTGCCTGCCAAGAGAAGCCCAGGAACTACATGAACACCATTACAAAACACTTTTCACACAAATAAAATCAGATCTAAACAATTGGAAAAATATTAATTGCTCATGGATAGGCCAAGCCAATATAATAAAAATGACAATTCGGGGCAGCTAGATGGAACAGTGGATAGGGACGCTTACTAGCTGTGTGACCCTGGGCAAGTCACTTAACCATTGCCTAGCCCCCTCCCGAAAAAAATTACAATTCCACCTAAATTAATCTAT